AGTCGAGCGCCTTATCCACCTGGCCATGCCGGGCAGTACCTTAGTAGTCAATTAATTTTACTCTTTCCATTTATCAGCTATCGTTTTATAACCAACTATTCAAAATGGCCCAGAATACCAAATATCCCAGATATTAAGTTTATAATAACGTAGATATTCTATATATTCAGGTGTATGAGAGTTTTTAATAGTTTGTATGCAATGTTGTAGCCAGCAATTGTTATCATAACGATTCAATAAGTAGTTCTACTTTTAGATGCAAACCTTTGTAATTTATTGAAAAACAGACAGTTTTATTACTTTAAAACATCTCTGAGGCAGTTTGTACTTTTAAAAACACACATAAAAGCCCTTTGCAACATAAGAGCTATTAGTGAGTTATCGAAAAAAGCCCATTACCCAGTAAAGCAAGAGAAGACATTTTTTGTTGTTATTAGGAAATTCACAGAACCTATTTGTAAAACCTCCTAGCGTTTTAATGATTTAAATTACTTCTGTTTGAACTTCATTTTTCTAGTTTTGCAATCTAACTAGTAAGAGGATAAACACATTATTGTCATTCAGTACGTTGTAAACCCATGTTTCTCAATGGTCCTCAACGCAGCGACGAAAAAGATAGTTTTCAAATTATAGTTAAAGAAAAAAATTCGATTAAATTAAAAATACTTTATTTGAAACTTTCATTAAAGGATGTCCCTTTTGTACACTGTAGAATCAAGTTCCACAGATAAATCTACCTTAGTGTGGGGGTACGGAGATTGGTTTGAGAAGGAATTCACGAGGGAAAAAAAACTAGAGATCCGCAAGTACAGACTCAGAATATGAAGTTAAAACTCATAGTTATTTCAAAAATGTTTCGTTCGTCTTACCATATGTCTTTAGTATCTTTTTATTGTGAGACATCGCAAAACATATAGTACCAGTTTTTTCATTATTCAAGGTAAGTTATCGTAATGAATGATTACAAATACCTGACTAGCCCCGCCCACTCTTGTACTATACAGTTCGCTTCAATTCTAGGTTCTTCTTATTGTTGCATGTTTTCTGTAACGAATAGCTGATGTATGTGCTTTAGCACTAATACACGTGTATATTGATGCTAAAATAAAAGCTCATAAGCTCTCTTTATTCACAACATAATCTATACTGCATTCCTTACGACATTCTTAGCCACCTGTAGCGCATACATCCAAGACGATTTTAAACGAGTAGCTTCAGGAAAAAAAATAGTGTGATTGAGAATGTGAAGTGTCCTCTTGGGTGGCCGTTGTATCATGTATTTGGAATTGAAAAAAGAAGTCACTAAGTGACCCTAATAAATATTCTGTCCATTTCTCCACGATAGACGCCCATGTGAGTAAAAGTTAGGATTAGTTTATACATACGTATTTATTAAATATGGTAGCTGTAGCACCACATACACAGCCTATACGTGCTTGAACTGATAGTACGAGTGACAGGTTGACGTCATGCAGTTCAGTCATCTACAACAGTGTCAATTTGAGTTGGAAGTAAGATTTTTTCTCAGTATTAAGTGTATTTAAAGAGGCTTATAATGTATTTTCCATTTCAAAGTTGATAAGCCATTTATTCTTCTGTCATAGTCTCCTGATGTAATCGCATCATTTCTTATTACACAGACGGCAGGACAGCTAGATTTAAAGATTACAACACACAACGGCAGGTTTATGGTTGCAACTATGTACTGCTATGCTTACTCCCACTGACAGTTGCATTGCACAACAAAATTACTAAAGAAGAATGGGGAGGGGATGTATTTTTAGCAGAGGGTGGGTTAGTACAAGGACTGAACAGGTGTAGTTTATACCCAGTTAACGAATATGCTTAGTTGGCATGTAAGCAGTTATTTTATATTATATATGCAGCACGAAGAAAGGAGACACTCAACGGCTCGATATAACTATAGACGTCACATCCTTCTATGAACAATACTGAATGCCAAGTGCGGCGCATATATAAATATATATATATGTCTGTGTTCTTCCTGTCAGCCTCGCCCTTGCTACCTATACGGTTTGTATACTATATGTGACAAGTGATTACGTTTGTTTTCATCGTCTTTTTGTTCATTCAGAAACTAAATAAGTATACTTTTTTTCAGAATCTCATGGGAAAATATTAATCTGATCTTTGTAAGGTAAGTTCCTCAACATTGTAAAAAAAAAATTATAAAAGAAATAAAAAGAAATCAGCCAAATAAATAATAAAGTTTATTGCACTTTGCTGTGCGAAAAATATTAATATATTGGAAAAACTTGTTGCGATTGGAAAATATATTTCCCAATCCATGAGTAATTGTTTGATAAAAACGTTTTATTAATTCCGAAACAAGCCGCTTTCAAATGGCCAAATATTTTTATTACTACAGGAAAAGTTCTGATTTCGGGTTTTAGATACCCGAGAAAAGCAGAACACAGATAGCCCATTGTGTAGCTTTGATCTTTCCAACAAATAAAGTTCTGGTTATACATTGATCATATTTGAAGTGAAAGTTTTTCTTACTGAACGGTTATGCTAATACGTATTTTTTGTATTAATTTGAACAGTTAAGGGGTATAATTTACTAAACATTATCATATACATTACAATTAGATTAAGATATGAGAATACTACAAAATATTGTTTCACACCCGAGTTGTTACTTAAAAAAAGCTATCAAAAATTTTGTTCAATATTTTGATTGAAAATTCTTCAGCAACACGAGCAGGTACATAAGATACATCATAGACGTCGGTACCGGAGGAGCACGTGTCCCAGTAATTCAAACGGTTTGCTTGTAATTAAGCGCAATGCTACACAATGGGCTATCTTTGCTCTGCCCACCACGGGTATCGAAACCCGGTTTTTAGCGTTGAAAGTCCGAAGATATACCACTGTGTCCCCGGGGGGGGATTCAAACGAATGGTCTGAATATTAATTCCCCACCACACCGCCTCTCCACCAAATATTTTGTTAGCAACATATTTTCATTTAGTCTTTTTTTTCTATGCAACCGGTTGGCTTTGCCATCCGAAATGAAAAAAGACTATAGTTATTTGGCAAATTCTAAACATTACGCTGTTAATAACTTTTTGTGTATCTGAATAATGTGTATACTGGTTACCTGAAACATTTATTACTTGTATGACTTACGATTTTGTAGTACACAGCAAACAATAATTTGTATTTTGTATGTACAATAGAGTACTTGCTATTGTGTGAAATTATTGAATAACATGCTAAAGAGTTTTTACTCATTGTCAGATAATTTATATTCATTTACGACTGGCCCTCCAACTTTTTGTATGTTCAGACGTTCCTGTTCAGACACTGATGTTTTTGTGTTACACACTGTTAACCACGAACAAATTGTTCCTTAACAATAATAAAATGAGTTACCGCTAGTGGCATGACACGAGTTTAAATAATGGAACTTTAGATCGTACAATTCAAACTTTTCCACAACATTCCTTTAGTTTTCAAAAGGAATCATTGGGTGATAATTCCCAGCGTGAAATTACCTTATACACAACAAAGTATCCAGTTATCAGCGCAAATCAGGCCTATTCTACAAGATTAAGAACACAATTAAAAACATCTAACAAAGCCGATGTTTCTTCTTTTTTGATACAAAATAATGATGTTAATAATCACGCGTCATTTCACGATTACAATCATTTAACTTATCTCCTGCCAGAATGTACTTTGAAAAAAAAAGAGAAGAAATACATATATTGACCAAAGTTTAGCAGTACTCAACAAAATTCTGTAATAACCAAAGACAACAGGCTTTCTTACACACGCGGTTCATCTTGGACAAAAATGAAGGATCCTTAAAAACAAAAGTGGTAGTAAAAGTCTTATTACATTTTTGATAGAAGGTGCTGGAGTGTAAATACCAGCTTTTAAGTTAACCCAAAAAAGAAATACGATCGTTTGATGCAACATACATAGTTTAAATTTTACCTAAATTTGAAAGATATAAATCTCAACTTTCGAGGTTTTTCAAATATTCATGAGTAAAGCTAATCTCACTGAAATTCTCAACTAAACTCAAGTGTGCAGTGTCCTCCACATTGTTACTTGCCCGCATATTGAGAAGTCTACATAGTACAAATGGATATATATTTTCGTATTGAAAATGAGTCTTTTTAGTGTGTGCGTGTACATATATATATATATGTATATATATACGAGCTTACTTGCATTCTCCAGGTTTCTCACAGTTTCCATGTTGCGGGTGACACCCTTCCTTACAAACCGCTGTAACAAAGAATAAGTCATAAAAAATCACAAGATTTCTCCGATAAAACAAATAAAAGATGAATTCTTTTAAAGTAACATGAAGACATTTCCTTCTGGTAGCTCTGTGAATCAATCCTATCGTGAAAAGTCGTTTATCATACATACAGGCTTTCATACGTTATATCAAAACGATTTTGAATATGCAAATCAGCAAGTAACGCAAAAACCACATCCGACATAAAGTCGCGGAGGAAGAGCATGTATCAGAACTACATTTTGACAAGGTGTCTTGCAACAGATGAGAATCTATGAACATGAAAGTCAGTAGCAAAAGACGTCTATGAGCCCCAGGCAACAGTACGCAACATCATCAAGAATGATCTTCGTCTGGAAAAGCGACCTAGGTCAAGTGTACATAAGTTGCTTCCACGACACATCAGTTCAACTGTTGCATACCTCGAGCAACTGGAGAATGAAATTGGTATTCATGCTATACCATATGAAGACATAGCGGTCAAGTTGCCTGATGCAGCACATATGGATTTTGGTACGATGGGAATGTTGAAACATGCGTTAAGATACCATTACTTTCACACACTGGATTGAGTATGGAAAGCACGCAAGAAGGAGTGGTGAGCATTGAACATGACAGTCTTACATTTGAAAGTACGCTGCACGAGTATTGCCAAGTGTACGGTCGTCAAACAGAGTATGAATAGGCTGGCAACATGGACTCTAAAGATGTGGTGAAACTCCAAAATCGTGTTACTATAACGTACTCAACCTCTGTATCTATTGTAATAAGTTTTAGAGTGCATACATTTTTCTTATTCCAATATAGGAAGAAAAACATTCGCATAGAATAGTCTTTATAAGAAACAAAAGTATCAGTTACAAATAAGAAACTTAATTTTCTAATGTGTTTTTAAGTTTTACTCTAAAAAAATAGTAAGTGGCAGATAAGGCAACGACACACTGTGACCAACTGAAGCAAAATCAATTAAAATGTTTAATGAAAACAGGAACTTAACGCGTTATTTTGTAAAACTTACCTGTTTCACAGTTAGGTCCTTTCCATCCCACCAAACAGATCTTGTCTCCTTGTTTACTACAAGTGTAGTGTCCAAAACGGTCGTGCCTCGGTCGACAAAATTTGGTGCACGTGTAATTGTAATAGTAAGGGTCGCACGTCACACGTATTCTATAGTTTATAGTAGCTGTAGTACCTGGGTGTGATAGTTGGTGCCACTCTGCGCTGGGTGTAATAATGCCCGAATACATATGTCTTTCGATCACTTCGTCACGAGCTATATTGATAGAATAATCGTAAATGTAAAATAACTTAGTAAGCATAAGAGACAAAAAAACTGGTAATATATTCATAATTTCAATTTAATTCTAATCACAATAATTCGTTTATTTGGGTTGTAAAAGCTAGACAATTTTTCTTTTTGAATATTTTTCTTCTCAGTAACCAAAGTATTAATATTTTACAAGGAAATAAAACTGGTTCAAAACAAAAACTGATTTAAACTGCAAGTTATATTTCCATATTATCAGATGGGTTCTGAACATTGAATATTATAAGAGGGGGGGAGGCATAATAATGATAGTACGAAGAACCAAATAAAGTAAAACCAGCAGTTTAATTTAACTAAAATGATGTGGTAGGTTTGTTTTTTTTGTTTTGTTTTTACGTTTGTCAAGGAATTCCTACGCGTGCGCTCTTGAAAGTTCCTCAACGTTTTTGTTTACAGTATACTGACGTTTATTCATTTTGTAGAGCGCACTAAAAAAGTACTTTTTGCATAATAAAATACATGTACCGTTTAAAAAATGCGCACTGTATACCTTCAGGAGAATTTTTGACAGTAACGTGATAATACAGATTGTTTTTTAATCCAATTCATTGAAGAACTGTGAAATACCACGGTCTCGAATACTGCTATGTCCGTTGTATCTCAACCGGCCTGATGAATCCTGGTATTAGGCGATAGGCCTCGTCGGCACTGGATGCAGTGGCTATAGTGTAGTTTAGATATTATTACAATCTTTTCTATTTTCATACATGCCATCCGAGTACTTGGAAGGCTAGATGATTTCAGGGAATGCTTGGCTACAGCACGTGACTTTGAAAAAGTAAAGGCAATTGAAAATGAGTAACAGTCTTCCTACTCATGTTCGTCCTTGTAAGATAAACTCATGACTGTTGTTCAGCTTCCTTATTACCGAACATATTTATCAAACACAAGAAGTCAGCTGCCACTATTTCCTGTCTGAAAGAATTAATAAAAAACACGATTTGACTCGGCTCACGTGTTATTACGCTATCAGTAACTTCTTATAAATTAGTACTTATGATTAATATTATAATTGGTTTCGTCCAGGTAGTTGCTCAGTTACGTGGCTATGTTTTCGCTATTCATAGTAGAAAAGTATACCCTAGGACAGTTGGACTATGCCCATAACATGTCGTTTTGAAACCAATACTTCAACGAGAAGCGTAGGCCTATAACACGGAGGTTTGAAACCAATACTTAAACAAGAGGCATAGGCTTAGAACAAACTGAATTGAAACCAGTACTCCCAAAAAGAGGCATAGACCTATAACATGGTGATTTTAAACCTGGATAGTCCAACAACAAGCATAGGCCTATAATACGACAAAATCGACTTGTTAGGTCGGAATTTAAAAGAGTCGAACTGAGTAAAAAAAAACAATAAATCACGACGAGTTCAACAGCGTCGGTTGAAATTTTTTACAACTAAGTCGGTCGACATTTCTGTTAAAAATTCAAATGTATCTATTATTTTATGAAACAGAGGGTACCATAAAAGTAATCATGAAATACCACTACAGATATTTTCAAGAGCTACGCTATAACAATGAACTAATAGGACGATCCGTTTGCCTTGAGAATGCATCAGTTGCTGCCTACTTGCTGTCACACAATCGAACGAGTACAACACAATTTTCGTTGAAAGTATTAGGCCTATAATTTTATGTTCCACTTTGTGGACTGTAGATCTAATGGATTAAAAAACTTAAAAAATCACGTACTGCGCAAAATAGAGTATATGACTTAGTATATATAAAACTGGACTGCCAATTAAGAACTAGAAAGTCAGTGTAACTAGCTCTTTATTAGGTTAGGCAAGCCTAAGTCAGTCCGACCTGAAGAATATGCTTTAAATTTGACTTTTGATGACAAATATAGGAACAATTATTTTTCAAACGATACCCCATTCAGTGCTGTAGCTATTTTAGTGACATCAGAGTGACTGTAAACAAGTAGGTAGAAAGATGCAACTTTTTGGTTCATTGTAGTAAAACTGGACAGTATTTCAATTATCTTGATATTTATATTAAACGATAAAATTCAACATCTTTATTAGTAGTAGTATTTTTTACATCAGTATTTGTATTTTATATATATATACATAATGAAACCATACATTGTTAGCGATAGTAGTTCATTACATCAAAGAGTGGATGGCGAGTCATTTTTTGGGACGACACCCTACCTGTAATATCATACTATAATATATATGTTCATTTACTAAAATGTGTCCCGATGGTTCAGCGGCAAATTTCAAGGATTGTAATTTTTAAACTTGGTGTTCGATTCCCGTGGCGGACACAGCGTTATGTAGCTTCTTGGCAAAACATAAAAAAATATCAATTACTAAAAATACGCCCCTTTCCAAAAAGTATCATTCACTAAAAATATGCCCCTTTCCAAAAAGTATAATTTATTAAAAATAAGCCCCTTTCCAAAACCAGTTGAAGTTTATTTCAACTTTTTTTAACCATCTTAATACAAACAAAGCTAAGACCTTACGAAATGTTTTCGCTATTCAGTAGATAATTATACCCTAGGACTTGGACTATGTCTATAACACGGCGGTTTGAAACCGGTACTCCAAAAAGAAGCGCAAACCTCAAACGTAGCGATTTGAAACTTCAACAAAAGGCCTACAACACGGAGGTTGAAACCAATACTCCAACAAGCGGCGCAAGATTCTAACACGACGGTTTGAAATCTGGATGCCCCAACAAGAGACATAGGGATATTTAAATTGGTACTTTGAAACCAGTACTCCAACAAGTGGCGTAGGCCTTTAACATGGCGGTTTCAAACAAATACTTCAATAAGAGGCATAAGCCTTGTAACACCTGTTTGAAAATAATACTCCAACAAAAGTCGTAGGCCTATAACACGTCGTTTTGAAACCAATACTTTAACAAAAGGTGTGGATCTATAACACGTCAACTTTTAACCATACAATCTCAGATAGTGTGCTAGCACTCCCTCTGGAGGAATGCAACGAGAAAATGGCCGCCACTATTGCAATAATACATAAACTCAGACGAACTTGATACCGTAACGCTAATATGAAGAGCCGTGATCCTACTTTGACCCGTGACCTTACAACTTCATCCCATACGACACTTTTGCGGTCAATGACCGTCAATTGATTAATAACATGAAACGATGTGGAAGGACATTAAGAGGTAGATGTTGAAAGCGGGTAACTGAAGGCACCTCTACCTCCACTACTTTTTCCGCTACCTCTTCGTACAAAGTCGCCCTGACCATCATACAGTGTATACCATGTTTTAAGTATATACATAGTGGGTTTTTAAAACTTATACAAAACTTTTGGTGAGGTATTAATAAATACTTTAATAATATGCTAGGTTATAAATAAATTGTGTGGGAGTTAGGGTTTTTGTGTTACTTATCATAGCATCCATCCCCCACATTTTTTTAAGTTCATAACCCAGACAAAGGTCGGGTATCTCAGCTTGTATCTTATATATTGTACTACACATATTACTATCGCAACGGACACGAAATAAGGTAGTAAGTAAATACATAATACCAAGTAAAGTAAAGAATATTATATCTTAGATCCACTATTAGGGAACAAGAATTTGGATACAAGTTTCCTCACTACAGAGGACACATAAAAATATCAGAACTTGTATCCATTTAACGTTGTTGTTCCCTACTAGTTGATATAAAGTAAACAGCTTGTAACGAACACGTTTTTTTTCTTACAAGGACATATTTAAATACTAAATAAGAAAGTAAAACACAACCCTTTTTTATTGATATATTTCTATAATTATTAAAAAGTTTAAAAAACATATGGCCATGATAACTTAGGTCGTAAAGGTGCATTAGCAGTTTGATGTTAAGCTCAGAGCTACGTATTGGATTATCTGTGCTCTGCCCGCCACAGGTATCGAAACGCGATTTTTGTGTTATAAGTACTCAGGCTTACCGCTGAGCCACTAGGGAAGTGCATTAGCAACGGGGGATCTTAAGGCATATAGCAACTTTGCTATGTTACCGCCATCTGGTGGACAGATGTAACAGACAAAAGTACAATCAGATGAATGTCAAGTATTACACGTGTTCCTTTTTTAAGTTTCTTTTTATTTATAGAGCTAAACAATTAGTTAAAAAAGAATCGGTTTCTAAATAAGGGTTTAAAATAAATGCTTGCTCTGTAAATATGCATAAATGTGCATACTTTGTCCGTACACAAATGCCAGAAAGTGTAAGATATGAAGTTTCTGGCTTGTAGCTAGTATTTATTTGGAACGCAGTCGTACATCTTCCATATGGATTTGTCGACGCCAACAGATCTTTATGACAGCTGGGTGAGCAGTACTCGACCTTCCAAAAATAGCCGGAATGTGCCTAAGAACCTCCCCGAGGTATGATTAATATTTCACCTTTTTATCTGCTGTAAGCATCAGACCCATCGTTCCTACACCATATCTGGACTTATAACTACGAATCTTGGCAACAATCTCCGGGAACCCGAGGAGAACAAACTTCCATCTGTACAATATTTTTACGAAACAAAAAACTTTGCTTGCTTGCTTTCGATCTCCATCGTTTGTTTCTTCCTCGGCGGTTTCTAAACTTTTTATTCTATCTACACATTTATTTTTCTTCGTGTGTGTTTTCTTTGTTTAAATTTTTTTACACGTCTCTGTTTTTCATTATCATTTTCGTATCTTTAGACCAAAATATGAGGTAACTCACGCTTACGATACAGAGATCGGAAACTTCTACCAACAAAGCAAGTGGAGACTTAAAAGTTACCTTTCTTTCAATATTGGAGAATAAACACCAAAGACTGAATAACGTCTCTTAAAACCTGGTTATGAAAAACAACCTGCTTGTTAGCTATTCTGTTCAACCTTTTGGTTACAGTCATGTACATTAGTGTTAACCACATTCTTCGTTCCAGCAGTCAATTCATTCAGTGTTCCATAACCAACTGACCTTCGAAGTACATTCCCATAGAAAAATGGCAGGCTGCAGTATCCTTGTTTCAAATGATATTATTGACCAAAAAAAAGAAAGAAAAACAAATAAACAAAAACAACAGCTTTTTGAATTTGAAGATAAAGAGTATTGTTCATTGGAATGATTGGCACTGTGTTAATAGTATAATCAGAATCGTAACTATTTTCATATTTTCGCGGCATGGCGAAATATTTTTATAATTTCAACCACGTGCTGCACATATTTAAAACTAATGAAGTCTAGAGAGAAGACTGCATAGATAATTGACGTGATTTCTCTGTATATAAGTAGTAACAGTTTTCTCTCATTTTTGGCAGTTATATGGATTTGAACTTAATTATTTCAGAAGAAATAATTAATAATCAGGGGTGTTCGAAGATTAGCAATCCTCCTTCACCCAGTAACAGTTTTCACCATGATAGAGAACTTATGAATTAGTTCCTCTAACAGATTAATAATTTAAAGTTTAGAAAATACTGTAAGATCATATAATGTATTTTTCTGAGATTAATATCATTACCTTTTGTCCTCCAGAAAAATTCAAAAATGTATACTATATTAACTAGTGTAATAACAAATGTGATCCTTAAAGAGTTGCGTACTCTTTAACGTGGTGCCATCTATGAATAACTATGGTAGATGAAAAGGGATTTTGATAGTACTATCGAAACATAAAATAAAATTCGGTGATCGTGTCCAGGGTCACTGATGGGGAGTGGAATTCTTCGAAACTATTCTGGTCTACAGACACACCCCCAATGAAAGAATAGACCATTCCAAGCTTTTATTTGTTGTTAAACAAATGTTTAAACAACTCTGTTCAACATAAAATAAAATGTTCACTATATCGGCTATTATATACAAAGTTTGGTAAAATTCGGTTTAGTAGTTTAAAAGAACAAATATGGAAATGTACATGCACATTAAAAACAGTAAACAACATTGAAATTACAAATTTTGGTGATAGAAAAAATTGAGGTAAAACAAATATGAAACCACGAAAAAGATTAACGAAAATGAATGACAATTAGTTTCAGTATTTCTGGAAATATGGCTATGTAATAATAAAAAAAACAACAAAAAACACGAAGATCTGTAACGGCAATAACGGCTTGTAATTTGTTATTGCCACAATATGCTTTTTGGCCCCATAAATTCAATATAAAAACGTTTTTGGTATACTAAATATTTTATATATACAAATCAGGTAAACCAAAACATGTACCATGGTTTGGTTTGTTTCAAATTTCGCGCAAAGCTAGCCGTCCCCAATTTAATAGTGATACGCTAGAGGGAAGGCAGTTAGTCAACGCCACCCATCGCCAAATCTTGGGCTACTCGTTTACCAACAAATAGTGGGATTGGCCGTCACATTGTAACACCCTCACGGAATGTTCGGTGTGACGAGGATTCGAAACGGCAGATTGCAAGTCGAGCACCCTAACCACCAGGCCTGGACCATGGAGTTACTATTGCACCATAAATTTGCAAAAAAGCTAAACTCTTAGTTGGTGCAAATCTTAATTTTGTGAGCTTAAAACTGTTAACAAACAGTTTTTTATTTTTCTTCATACGTATTGATTATCCAAAATAAATGAAATATATATATATATATATATTCATCTTTCTACTGTTCTTTTGTGGATAACATCAAGGATGAAGAGATCGGTGAATACATATAGAACTGGTTGTATAGACTCATTCAATTAATGCGCTTCTATTATTTTAGCGCCTTTAACGTTTCGCTGGAAAGCCTGGCATCGTTCCCTCTTCTACTTGCACAGAACTAGTAGCCATCTGACAAGTAAATAAAAACTCCCTTTCAGCTAGAATACTTTCTTCAACAACCTGTGGCTATTTTGTAAAAATCCAGTGGCTCTGACAAGCTCTGGCATCTTTCGAATATAATTTATGAGAGCTCCCGGGGTGCTTTAAGTTTAACGGTGCAATCAACCCAGAGAGCTGGCAATTACAGGGAAGCCAAGGGAATTTATGGTGTTCGCCATGTCTGATAAAGAGAAGCGCTTGGAGATGAATAAGGTGGATAACAACAGGGAGGGCCAGCAATGTCAGACACCTGAAGGGCCACTCCCTAACAGATTAAACCCCTAGGCGAGCAGTATAGCTACTATGTTTCTTGTTGGTTGCTGGGTGTATCTATTACAAGGTATAGTCTAGTTACAAATCTATACTACAACAACATGTCTGAGTACTTGCAGTAAAATGTATCATTATTTTTCTGCCTCTGTATATATATATTGATCAAACATTGAAACTTGTTTTTATATATGTCGCATTGTCTAATCGATATGCTAACAAAACAAAAAAGACTCATCCACTGTTGAAAACGTCTTGTAAATTGGGGCACTTATTCATAGTTATGAATATCTATATTAATGTCAGTGATTTAAGATTAGAAATTAAAAAGAATTAATTTCACAACGTCTTGTTCCCCGATGGGTCAGTGATAGCTTTACGGACTTACACTAAAATACGGGGTTCGATTCTCGCGGTGGAGCACAGAGAGCTCATTGTGCAGCTAAGAACAACTCGCTGTCTTCAATGTAAGAAAGTTTAGGACAAAAAAAGAACAGGATTCAATTGCACAATGTCTTCTATCACACCAATAATTAGATATCCAAATATAATTTTTGCAAATTAGCAGCTTATATTATGTAAAGAACGTAATTTTTTATGATTTATCCATCAATATATATGTGCTAAAATAACCAAAAACACGTGTAATTAAATATATAGTTTAACATAATTCTTGTTATACGTATCTTGACGCACGTGATTGTAAAATATGCCAAGCGTGACAGATGGCGCAGATGTATACAACTGGTAAAGAAGTAGATGACTTATTTGTTTCAAAATTTCGCACAAAGTAACACCAGGACCATTAGTGCATTGTCGTACCTAATTTTGAAATGACTAGTCAACAGTGCCCACCGCTAACTCTTGAGGTACTACTCTAAGCGAATACTGGAATTTGGCGTCATTCTTTGAACGCACTCTCAAACACAAAATGTCGAACGCGTTTATGCGACAAGGGATCGCAAACCGTGAATTTTTCAAATTCAAAGTGGAGGCACGCTAATTACTAGGCCACATCCGGCCCATGTGAGGACAGATGGTATCTAAAGATGAATTAAGATCATAGATCGAACTTGAAATGTTAAAATAACTTAAATATTGTCACAAGCTGAGGTACCAGTCTTTTGTCTGAGTGATGAACTTAAAAAACAAAAAATGTAGGAGGATGCTGTGATAAATAACGCAAAAATCCTAACTTTCACACAGTTTATTATACATAACATATTATTAAAGTATTCATTATTACCTCACCTAAAAGTTTTAAGAACTCACTACGTATATGCTTAAAACATGGTATACACTTTGTGATGTTCAGGTTGTGAAGTAGTGGCCGTAGGGATGCTTTCTGTTACGTTATCAATGAATTGACGGTTACTGGTCGCAGAAGTGTTTTATTGGATCACGGGTCAAAATAGGAAGTTGGTGTAACACGAGAAACTGCTCTTCATATCAGCCTTATGATGACTGTTGTCGTATCAACTTCATCTGAGCTTATGTATTATTGCAATAGTGGCGGCCATTTTTTATTTCAATTTTCTATAGAGAGTGCTAGCGCACTCTCTGATATATATAAGACATTTGTGTGCGCTCCCACACTGTTTGTATGTTGTGTTATAGAAAATTTAATATGTGTGTGTGTGTTTTCTTATAGCAAAGCCACATCGAGCTATCTCTGTGTCCACCGATGGGAATCAAATCTCTGATTTTCGCGTTATTAGTCCGAAGACTTAGCACTGTCCCACCGGGGGACAGAAAAGTTTATAATTTTTTTTTTTTTTGGTGAAGAACGTGGCGCTGTATATGAATGTACTTAACGTTAACTTACGTCAAAGATAATAAATGCTTGATAACAGTAATAATGAAAGGTGGAGGGGTTGTGAACCCTTCATTAACATGCCTTTTGTTCCAAACTATCATCCCACAAAGTTTGGTTGAGATTGGCCTAGTGACCTAGGAGTAGTTACATAATGGACAAACAGACAGACACACAGGTCTTTATGCTTTATATATAGAGAGAAATGTTTTACAAAATACATTGATAATACAAGTACTATTTCTTATAAATCTAGTAAGTTTAATAAGATGTAAAACAGTGTGTATCGAGGTAAAAAAACAGCAAACGCTGATATGTACAAGTATATATATATATATATATTGGTAGCCAAACATAAAAAGTAACAAATATAAATATGCTAAAGTACATTTGTTGAAATATTTACCATGAAGCGACAACAATACAGAAACAGTTACTTAAAAGAAGTTAGCATAAAATGAATAAGATATTTATTTTACAAGTCTCTTTATTAAAAAACTACATACCCATATATATATATATACATATCCACTTATAAACGTATATAATTTCAATATTTAATGTTCTGTTGCGTTTTTTATAGCTGTTTAATGGTCAATAACGTTAAAAGTGTAACGTTAAAACGCTAGGTTTTAATATTGACTGGTCTGAATAATTTCAAACTGAAAATTCTAGAAATAATCCAGAACTTATATTAATATTATTTAATAATAACAACAGTACAGTATATATATAATTTGAGTCAAAATAAACGGAAGTTTTTACACAGATATTCAGCGCCCTCTTTACATAAAAAATAATGTTTACAGTGAACTTACATGATTTTGAACGGTTGTTGTGGTCTACTGCTTCAAGGATTAACGTGAATGATTTCTGAAAAAGAAGGAGATTACTTTAACAGATCATAGAAATACAAGTACCTTAATTAAACTAGTAATACTTATTTTACACTGACCACGTGAGTGCAAAAACAACTTTCGGGAATTTTAAGCCTTAATAATTTTGAAACCGATGACGAAAAACATTACTATCGTAAATATAATTATGAAATATAAATATCAAAACACTAAGTCTGTAGTATATACATTTAACCACCATCCTGTAATGAAATGATGACTGGGTGTCTGTTCGAATACAAATATAAATATCAAACACTAAGTCTGTGGTATATACATTTAACCACCACCCTGTAATGAAATGATGACTGAGTGTCTGTTCGAATACAAAATACAATTTTGCTAAAAGTTTATCAAATATAAAATTTACCTAAAAAATATAATATTGTCTGGCGTTTATTATGAAAAAATACATCAGAAATAATTTACTGAGATTAAAGAAATCTAATGAAGATATATAGTTGCTCATAGGTATTAATAATTCATTTCAAGTTACATACACTACACTGCCTTTTTCGTGTACTCATTCTAAGAACTAGTGAGTGAAAGCAAATAAGAATATGCTAAAATATGGCAATCATATTATATCTGCCATATATATAGTGGCGATGAGGTATTTCGTACAAGCCCCCGCCCAGTGGCATAGCGGTATGTCTGCGGCCTTACAACGCTAGAAACAGGGTTTCGATATCAGTTGTGGGCAGATCATAGATAACCTGTGGTGTAGCTTTGTGCTTGACTTCAAAAACAAACACATTTTCGTACAATACCAGGACTCATGATGCTGGCCAAAATGCGAAAGATGTACTAGTTGTCAAGGCGCTACTTATGTCGTCAATTGCATGAACAACATGTAATGGAGTGAAGTAAGTGTAGTGATCGTCTTATTCAAGTCATTCACAAAGCAGAATTAGGGTAAAGAGTAACAATCTATTGTTATTATCCTTTTAGTAATTTCTACACATATATTACTCCACTTCCTTGTTAAGAACTGAAATTTATGAATTTGCGAACATCTGGTAAGTCTGCTTTGATATATTACTTTCATTCTCGTATACAACAAGAGAGAGAGAGTGTGTTATGTTTGCCTTTATTAGTTAGTTCACAGAGAACAGTGTTTATTTTATCTGCCACTAAGTCAAGAGTGTTACGTTAGCCTTAAAAAAAGTATATAATGTGTGTGTGTGTGTGAAATTTGAACAAAAAAGTTAAGTAATTTTACATTATCAAGATAGAGGGGGTTAAAAAACAGCACTCCCATGCCTATGATGGATAGTATATGAATTGAAGAAGCTGGGCCATGAGAATGCAATAAGAACAAAATAACAACAAGTTTAAAGCTATGACGTGGGATATTGTAAAATGTATCCGAAGAAGTAGGACCCACCCTCTATTATCTAACCTCATAAATTGCATAATATAATATATATATATATATATATACATAAAGAGAGAGAGAGAGCAGTCGTAGGTGCTCAAGTCCACAACGTCTCACATTCAGGCTTTCGAAACAGAAAGGTTATTAATCACAAACTTTTTCCAATGGGCTATCTATGATGTGTCCATGGAAGGTATCGAAACCCAAAGTTTAGCGTTATACGCCCTAAAGGTTACCGCTGAGCCATAGAAAAGACTTGCGCTTATAGAATAAAACTTAATGATTTTAACCATTATGCTTCATATAAATGTTTTCGATTATTCGACCACAAATATAAACATATTTGCATAAATTTCACCCTAACAAAACCAAAAATAATAACTGAACTTATTAAAAGAAGTTACTTAATTTCAACTCTTTAAAGTTTATTAAAATTATTACGTACTATATTTAATTCTGGCATATACACATGTTGAATTAATCAGATGAAGTAATCATATGCATGCGTGAGACACTTACTGGTGTTTACTTACGTAAGCTTCTTAAGTTACAGAGGGCTGTTAGGGTGGAGGAAGGGTGTGACATTTTTTTTTCTTTTTTTTTAGATTTGGGTTAACAATATTCTCATGTCAGTGTTATGACTATGTGAACGTTTTCATTATTATTTAACTGTAATGTTTACCACACGGAGGAATAGAGTGCCAACATCAAGAGATATGTGGTTCTTATCACTCTCGATAACACTTTTTCCATAACAGACTGCAGTCAGTCAAAGGTGGTAAATATGTCGAACACTAGATTTGGGCACCCATGTCCACTCTTTATAATTCCTTTTTACTTTATCATGCAGTTCGTGAGGCTAGGGAATAGACATTAAACTTGTTACACTATGTATCGCTACTTTTGTGTGGGTCCTATTTCTCCAGATACCTTTAAAAGCCAAGACATGTTTCATGACGTCCCTTGTTCCTATATTACGAATGTGTCTATTCTTCTGGAATATTTCACAAGCCTTCCAGACATGAGACTATTATTATTAAACGACTGAAATGTGATTGACTTGTTCGCACGAAAACGCACACGTTGAACTGTGGTTACAAATTATGAAACTGGTAGTTAATTTCATCTGGATTTAGGGATCTTTCATTGGTCTAATTAACCCGTGTCAATCACTCAGTAATTTTTTTTTCAAGTGTGTCATGGCTACTTACACAGTAAACGAGTTTGTTGAGTTTAACTGTCATTAAGGGTCAAAAGTTGAATACGGTCATGTAATACATACCATACATTTGTTTCTAACAGATACTGGTTCTCATGACAACAAAGTTATGTGATTCGCTAATTGCAGTAACAAAATCATACATCAACGTTGTGTTGAAGCCTAACCCGGGTAATGATATACTGGGGAGCGACTTACTACTTTAACAAGGATAATAATATAATGCAGCACATCAGTGCTATGAGCAGCGAAATTACGAATGTGCATTTACATTTTGATGGATTTGGAATTAAACTATCATGGAGGTCTTATAAACCTAAAATTCGGGATACCAGCGGTTGGCGCATTGCAGATATTCCAGTGTATAGCTTTGCTCTTAAAAACAAACAAAAGCTTTTCATTGAAATCCTACATAAAAAAATGCAAGGATCCTTAATTAAAACAAGTTAACCAATTAAGGATAATTGGTATTTACCAACACTTAACAGTTGGTGAAAGATCAACCAGTTCTACTGAAACGGTTACTTTAGTAAAGTTTCAAGGAAAGGTAATATCCGGGCATTTGTCATCAAGTGTTTCCTTCCAGAGTAAAGGAGCTGCTTATATTACTGGGATTTTTTACATTAACAGTTGTTTTCAGATAAACTCGTAAGGACGATGACTAAATAATTCAGAATAAATAGCCCCATTGGCACAGCGGTATGTCTGCGGACTTACAACGCTAGAAACCTGGTTTCGAAAGCCATAGTGGGCATAGCACAGATATCCCATTGTGTAATAAAATTACCATAAACTTCTCATTACTTTAATTTCATAAAATATAAAAGTTTCATAACAGTCTGCAAATTCTTGTACAAATTTTGAAACTAGATGGCACTCGTGAGACGCTTATTCAATCTTTACGTCCCTCCTCCCAACAACAAACACCCCGCACGGTATTCTATGTTTATATATATAATGGAAAACCAGGTGTGTCTAATAATCTTGTATTTTTGATTTTAATTATAGTGCAAACATTTCAACAGACTTTACCCATCATGCACGGCGTAAGTAAATTAGCATGATGGGAAATTAGCCTGAAAAATTTTAACACCTCTCCACTAGTGCAACAAGCACAGTTTATAATTAACTCTCATAGCCCAGTTCAATACGGGTACCGCTCCAATTAATAAATCCTAAACAAAAATAAACTTTGTTTTCTACATTAATCATATCAATTACCCCGATACCTATCATAAGATAACATCCATCGACTGTATAAAACGTACATTGAATTACTGTGTACGTAAGCCTAATTTTTCTAAGTTACAGGAAAATGAATTTAATTGCTGCTTTAATGAAGATAACATATATGGTATATAAATTATCTTGGAGTTTCCACGTGCACAAACATACGTATGTTTGTGTGTATATATGTATATATATATATATATAGCTTCTCCTAACAGTGAAGGAAAAAACAACAATGATTTACAATAATATTTTGGGTTTGTTTGCTTTTGAATTTCGCACAAAGCTACATAAGGTCTATCTGCTCTAGCCGTCCCTAAGTTAGCAGCTACCCTTTTACCAACTAATAGTGGGATTTATTATAACTTTATAACGGCCCCACGGCTGAAAGATCGAGCATGTTCGGTGAAGGGGATTGGAATCCGCGACAATCAAATTGTGAGTCGAGCGTCTTAACCACCAGGCCATGCCAGGCCTATTTGTTTCTGTCAATTATAGATAAACATATAATATTTTTATACTTTCCTAAGTAAACGTAGTAGATCATTGTCTACAACTATAACCGATCAATATCATTCAAGGATGAACGATTAAAGTTCACTTCAGTCATATAGGTATTATAACATTGACACTAACTTAATTCTACTTTTTCGTTACAAGCCACCTGGCGTACAATGAAATATACCTAGAAATTCTATTCTTTAAATTACGAACCAACTAATATCAGTATTTTTCGGACTGTTATATCTTGTAAACTGGTGAGAAGTTGAAATAATAAATTATCATCATATGAATGTTTTTCTAACGTTGTCTTATGTTTGCTATTTCACTCAACAAAATTTGCCCACCAATGGCTCAGAGATAAGTTAGCAGGCTTACGAGTCACGACGCTAAACATCGGGCTTCGATACCCGTGGTGGACAGAGCACAAACAGCACATTGTGCTTACCCAAATTTACTCCAGCATAAATAACGAATAGGGCGAAATGACATCTGCTCAATAACGTTATAACAAAGCCTACGTCTAACTAACTTCGATATACCAGTTTATGGTGATACAGGTCTGTCTTATTCACATATGACCAAAGTCAAAGCTCATTCTATATTGCTAATTTTCGTATGAATTCCAAGTACATATGTTTATTAATATGAGGAACCTGAGCAAATGATTTAGCCACAGGCCAAAACACGATACAACATGATCACAATTACTACTAAAGGAATTTGTTAACTTGGATTCTTTTAATATGATTTATTACTTGCAGAATTGAGAAAAAACAAGACATTTATTCACGACCATGGAGTTTCACCAAGTTTCCGAAGGTTTGAAGTATCAATTATATTTATTACTTGCACGTGAACTGAGTCAAAGCTGTGTCTGGGCGTTTTCAAAGATAAATATACTTAAATTGTTCAGCCTATTTCCAGCTTTATAGGTAAAAATAAGACACGGAGTACTTTGGGTATCGTCATAACCAAGGTTTTCAATCATAACCCATTACCTGGTTACCAGTATACAGGAGGTAAGACCTTTAAATTAAAACAAGCAGTTACTTTAAGGTAATTCGAATCGTAAGTCCAACTAACTAGACCGTTATATTTTCTTTAGGACTTAAACAAACAGAAAGGGTGTTTAGAAGAAAATGGTTAATGATTTTTTACATATAAGACCGACAAAGAATATAACGACGGCGAGAACCATCTGTAGTTCTAGACTGTCCCTCAACATCTGGCAAATACCGATGTAGCTGTAAACGAACAGAGGAAGAGCTAACACTAACATGGCGAGTACGGATGTTGATTCCCAGGCACGTGTTGTAAGAATATCAGCCTGGATATTCTCTTATAGTTGACAAGACAGTGAAGTTCTGGTAATCCGGAAACCCTGACCTGGACCGTGGCGACAAAACATTCAATCAATAATATACTATATTTTGTTTCTTAGTGCACGTTATCTCTAATATATTTACATAACTTTCAAATGATATTTTACGTCTAATACATAATTGTGCTATAATATGACAAAACATTAAATATACAATGAATAATGAAATCAAAATATTGCGGAAATGGACTGTAAAACTGGGATCGAAGGTCGTTCATTAGTTTTTATTGTAATAGCGTGAAAACCAAACACTCTATAAAAACTCTTTGCACATGACACCAGCCAGAACTGAAAGATGATTCTGTTCTAGCTGACACCTTTATCGGAATCTTAACTCATGACCTCCTTCGCTGTCAATAATAAACGTTCCCGCCTTGTCCTTGACCAGCTAGCTCTGACCCATAGTCACTTCAACTAGAAGCTCATGATTAACAGATGATGTTTACCTAAAGGCTGAACGATATCCTATCGGATAACACTTTTTTCGCCCAGACGTATATAATGACATAGAATATTCAATGAGTGTTGACTTCTTCACGATGGAATAAAAACAATTCTACTAAACTATGAAGAACACAGATTTAATGCAGTAAGTTGGTTTTTGTTTTTCTTATCTCTATACTGTTGAGATATGTGCACTGTCTGTGTCTTCATATGATAGACATTCGAATCTTTTGCTAAGTAAAATTCTTTCCTATACACATTGAAACCTAACGCCAACCAACAAATCCAAGATCACACGTTGTGACTGATCACTCGTAGCACGATACATATAAGGTTGGAGTTACTTAAAAAGAACGTACACACCGATCACATAACGCCTCTCAGACAGCGCGGAAGGTCACGATGTCTAAAGGTCAGGTCTTGTATAAAACGTGATCACTGCTAGATTACTAGCTGGCATAAGAAACTAATAGTCTTCGAGTCTGATACCTTGTGTTGCATATTTTTATGCTTTGGTGTCAGACTTGCATGTTCGATTTTATAAGTTCGGTTACTTGCTATGCTTTTCGTGGAGGCGGGAATACTGTCTCACCTTCTGAGTCAGTGTGAGTGTAAAAAGCGAGATAAAACGCTTACGATTCGGCTTGATCATTTGCATCAAATCGTATGTAACAGTTTCAGTGACGAATGAAATTGTAAGTTCTTTATGAACTTAATCTTTGGGCAAAATGTATACAAAGTGACTTGCATCAAGTCACGCAGATTTATTGTTTCATTTTTGAAATTTAAAACTTTTGAAATTTATAACACTATATAGAAATCATGATATCTTTAAGCTCTTACAAAACTATAAAACATTTCGGTAGTTGACTCACGACAGATATTAGCTCTACTTTATACGAGGTTAGTGGTAGTTAAGTAAGTTGGAGTAGCTTAGAGACGTTTATGGATGGTATATAGTAACTACTAACTACATATCACGTAGAAACCATGCTGGTTTATTTATTATACATAGGGAACAAGAAAAAATGTATCATACATGACACAAAACATTGAGCTAACTCCCAGATGATGAGAGAACACGAAACCAATAAATAATAATGTCTCCGCTATAAGCCATGTGATCATAATTAAACTGTTCTGATTGGTACCTAACACGCAATTTCTTAAAAACGTTTTTGACTAACATTTCGAGATTTTAAAAACTGTGATGTGGTATTAGCTAATATATATATATAGCCCAACACTAGAAATTAGATTATGTCATATTTAAAGGTAAAACGGGAAAATTTTTGAAATATTTGTAAAATTCAACGACGCAAAGTAGATGGCATATCTTGTGTGCGCTCATGGCACTATTTTTTTAAACTATATATATATTATCCAGATTACTTGTTTACTGTTTTTCTTCCTGTTTCCCACCGGAAGTAATTGGTGCTTCAAACCCCAAAACAGATCCACATCTTGTCTGGCGTTATTTCTGGAAGATAGTGAAGTTTTCAGAACACAATTCTGAACTGTCAGATCTTGTGTACGCTGAACGAAGAGCCACGCAAATGTACATCCACGACTTGTTTTGCGTTGAGGGAAGTGTTTACTTCCCACGGGTATAGGTTATCACTTTTGGTCACGGGCAGCACACGTTTTTGGTACTGCCATCTCGCGGATTATACACAAATAAGTAAAAATATCTCCAATATGGCAAACATTTACTGTGAATAATATGTAGAGACATCTGTGATTTACTTAAATACTTAGCAAGTGAGTAAAAGTAATGTAATCTTTGTCACCCAGAGAACAATATATATCTGTGAAATGAAATATTAGCCAAATTTACATAATTTCATTTCGTAAAACATGAATACAATAATATATTAATCAAGTAAAAATATCAATTTAATACAAGGTCAGTTGTCTATAAAACATTCAAACATTGAAAAAAAGAAACAACAACACAAACCCTTCAAATTTCACTGAATTCGGTAAATTGTATTATTTACAACACTGAAAAAATTCTTTACTGTGAAAGAAGTTTTTTTTTTATTATTTACACACCGAAGAGTTGTATCATGTACAACAATGCACGAAATGTCTTTAATGTGATTATTAAACGGTAGAACATACACCATTATTCATAAAAATAACAATTGAATATTGTTGTTTAATTAACATAGAATTTCCATAATACATTTTGAGTACTATCATATATCTCTATGCTTTCTTCAAACGCTTTTATTCATTAAATATCAGTTTCTTTTATAAAGCAATACATCATATGCTGTCGTTAGAGGGCGCACGTACTGACTAATAAAACGTAGAAACCACACATTTATTGTCGTCAAATGTTCTAATGATGGTGAATAATACAGTCATAGACACGTTGATGAAAAAATAGGAATAATTACCTGTACGGTTAATTTCAATGCGAATAATTATGATTGATTTTGCAATAGCCAATCGATTAATATTCATAAATATCGTAGCTATGATCTTATATGTTATTACTGTTTGTATGATTCCTACGGTATCTAAATAAATATATGTGCTTATTATGGTATCACAAAGGTTCAATTGACAGTAAATAACTAGTTATATTTTGTCTTGCAAGTTATATTCCTTTCTTTTTTTTAAAGAACTTCTGAATGATATTAGTTTTATTGACAGTATTGGTTAATATATATACAGAGTGGCCCTAAAGTAGGTATACAGTTGCATACGGACTTTTTATTCTGGGGTGTACTCAAGGACAAAGTGTACAGCAGGAAATCACGGAATGTTAACGAAATGAAAGGGTACATCACAGACGCATTTACAGAACTTGATGGACAGGCAGACTTGTGTCAGAAAGTTTGCAGAAGTAATTATAAACACGTCTTTCAACCTATCGAGAATAAACACTGAACATCATAGCTACTAACAAGTATGATACCACAAGTGAACGGCGTCGTTTTACAATATCCAAGGTAAGTTTACATGAGTTTCGGAACTAAAACTTAAAAGTATTTCTATACTTACTGCTCGACAGCAAAACAAATATATTTGTGCGAAATTCTGCTATGGTATTAGTTTCTCTTAAGAATAACTACATACAATTTTGAAGCTGTAACAAATCGAATAACAAGAAACACAACTCTCGGGTTTAGTTTTTGATTTGTCCTTTTTTTCATCGTGAAATTGTAATAAACACAATTTATTTGATGCAGTAACTTTATCACAATTTTAATTCTCAGTTGAAGATTCTCTACGTGAGCTTAAATATATGAAAAAACTTTCTTTAAAACAATGCATTTAAAAATATACACTAGCGAAGAATCGAAATATTCAAATAAATAAATGTCACTTGAGAATTCCCAGCAATTATGATTTTTGTTAGTGATATTTTCCTAAAGAAAAACCAAACTCCAGACGACCACCTAGTTGGCTGACGACTAGTGTTTAACATGATGGGCTGTAGATAAAAAGGTTCAAGGTTCGAGCCCGCGGTATACCTTTGATCACGCTTCGCACTTGCCGCTGTTGTGACATTACAACTGTGGCATTGAATCCTGTTGTTTGGTCAAGGATAGCCGCATAATAGGCGGCAGGTGCTGCTGCCTGGTTGCCCTCCCTTTATTCAGCAGTTCTAAGTTCGGGTGGCTATGTTTGTCTGGTGACATTAGGTGCCTTTCAGGTTAAAAATATCAAACAGACGACCATCATATAATCACGTATACACTGTTAGAAGGTTCGTCTAAATGAGATAAGAAAACAAACGATGTTAAGTGTTAATACGATGTTAATAAGGTTCTTTCTGGGAAATCTCAGAAAGGGTGTTTCAACATTCTTTTATGTACAAGTTTAGGATAAGCATATCCTATATTCCTCATTTTATTTTCAGTATTTATTGCAATGGGCAGTATATAGCAAAAAAAAAAAACTCAACATTTTAGAAGACGTTTACGAATATGTAATTAAACTCCTATTTGTCTTTTGTTTTTCTTTTTTGAAGTATCAGATGAACTGAAAAAAGGTGAAAAGGTTGATGATGTAATGTTTTGGTAAAGCATATACGACAGAAGTACCAAGAAACCAAAGCTTCAAATGTCTCCTTAATAAACATTACAGTGAGACTTTTTTTATTTTGCAAATATGCTAATGTATATATATATGTTTGTGTTTAAAGATATATACAATTTTCTACATGGTTGAAACATAACACACAAAAGAGACCTTAAATGATCACTCTTCATGGTCGAACTAAAATGTATGTGTACCAAGGTCGCCAAACCTAAAATAACCCTGGTGACGAGATAATTAAAGTAATCATCATCAAAGGAAACTTCTTTTATTGCCTATGATGTGATGCTATGACGTCATACATGTACTATAGAGCTTGTGACATCCTGTGGTACTAGATACCCTTGAAACCAGGGAGCTAATATACGTAATGTAATATTAATATATTATCTATTCGCTATCTTATTTCGTGTTTGTTTTTTGTTTTGTTTTTATCTTCTTACTAAATAAATACAAAGACAATTAGGTTAATGATGCAATAACTTGATTAACCAGTACGACAGGAAGATATATACATATATAAAATTATACAAAACTAAAGCATCCGTTTGTTATAAATGTCGTCAATTTATGCGACCACTGTTAAAAATATAGTTTATTGATAAGAAAAATGTGCGAAAGAACGTGTGTTACACATGCATTAAGACTGTGTTACAAATTTGTTTTTAAAGATAAAAGCACTTATTTATAAAATACATCATTAAACTCAGTGTTAACTGATCAGTAGAGTATAAATGATCTTGTACTATTCTGCGAAGAAGTACGAAGCGCCGAACGTCCAGTAATCATAGCTCCTGTATGCTATTTGAGTGATTATTTATTTTCATCAATATATCTTTTATCGATTTATAAACACAAAGTTATTGTTCTACATCTCTGAAACTTGACCGGGAGAGAAAACAGCCTAGTTTACTGAATTGAAACTGGACTGTGAGATGAGCATAATACTTCCATAGCGTAAAAATTCAGCACAAGCGCTGGTCGTGGTTAGCGTATGAAGTTGATATCCTGTTATATTACAGTGGAAATTCTGAGATATTTTACTGTTTCCGTAAACTATACGAAAAACAAAGCGCTTTTAAAAACGTCCCTAAGTATCTTACAAATTCATTTCTTATAAAAAACGGCATAAAGAATTAATTAACAGAGCTTGAGTACAGGGTTGAGCACGTTATATTTAAAAATACTTTGAATATGCAACTACAGATGATATGAAATCACGGTGGAACGGCGTGTATCAGAGTATTTTGACGTTATTTGGCGTTTCGTATAGGCAGTGTGATGCCACCGAAAAAAACTAAACGTTTTTTGTAAAGGTAACAGCCCTTTCCGATCTAAAATATTCATACACTCAGATCATAAAGATGTGTTCGGACTGGGTATTTAGAATTTCCAAGATGGCATTGGAAAACAAAGTAATATGCATCATTTTTTTAGATATCAGGATCTTCCAGAAAGAGTCGTGCCCCAACCAATGTAAGAAAAGTGCAGCGTCTTGTAACGGGTAAGAACCCATGAACACAAAGGCCAGTAGCAACAGCCGTCCACGTGCCCCAGACGCAACGTAAACAAAAAACTCTCCGTGTGGAAGTGTAGAAACAAGAAAAACAGAGCATGGGTTCACCAAGATAAGGCTTCCAAGTCATACCTCAGTCAGTTGAAGAAAGAAACAGGTATTCATACTATTCGAAGACATACTGGTCAAGTCATAGGCGCAGCACCTGTACAACTGGACTTTTGAAACGGGTGCTAGGAAACCATTATACTCATTCAATAAATGAATTATGGAAAGTACAAAGGCAGGAATTGTGTACTTTGGACATGGAAGCCTTACGACTGAGCCTTTTGCAGTGGAAATTATGCTGCAGGGGTATTGTCAAGATGCACGGTGGTCAGATAGAGCATGACAAGAAGCATTATAATTGAAATGTTTATACCAGTATGAACCTATTTAATAAGGTTAAGCCAAAATAATGATTTTCGTTTGTTTGTTTTCGGGATATTCGTAGAAAGCTAATGAAAGACTATCTGCGCCATCTGTCCTTAATTTTAAACTGATAGACTAGAGGGAAAGCAACAAAACATCAGCACCCACCGTCAACTATCGCGCTACTTTTCTCTTGACCGAATTGTGGGATTTGATTGTAACTCTTATAACGTCTACCTGGCCTCAAAGTGCAGTGCGCAATTTATATTATTATTATTTTGCGATAACAGGACGCGAATGATAGACACACAGGTCCATAGTCCCGCACGCTAACCATTGGGCCACACTCGGCTCCCAGAAAATGAAACGTCCTGCAACTCGACACTGTATTGTGTATGCAACTGCTATTAATTTTGTGGTACGTACTTCTTACAGTTCCTATTATAGTAGATAAGGCTAGATCTCGGGTTAACAATGTGTGTGGTGCTACAATTTTCATTCTAATTTGTAATTTTTAATCAGCTGTTTTAATGAATTTTAAAAAACAACAATATGTCTACATAACAACTTTAAGTGAAAAAAGGCTTAAAATAAAAGTTGATCCTAAGCGGAAAATTGACGAACCTTCTAAAGTGTTACTGAAAACCCTATCAAAGTGTGCAAGGCCAGAACCACAAACGTGTTTAGACTTCAATATCAAACTGTGAATCAGATTTTTATTATACTAACGTAAATACTACTGAATAAATAAAATATAAGGTGCTGGGGACAGACAAAATTTATTTATTTTTCTTTACAGTATAATAACCAGGGTAGATAACTGGAAAAGTTTGATTGCAATTTTTTTTAGGGGGTAAGTCCAATTTTTCATTTTTTTAGCGCAATGCTACATAATAGGCTATCTACGCTCTGTCCATCGCAGAGACTCGAATCCTGGCGTTTTCTTTATATTTTAAAATTGGAATAATTGTTGTGTAACCTTTATATATATATATATATATACAGAGAGAGAGAGAGAAAACGTTAAGTAATCTAAGGGGGTAGGGGAAAATAATATCATTCAAGGCGAGAAAAAAATATAAAAACAAAACTGTATTCTCAAGTTTCAATTCATCTAAATATGAGAAGTAAACTTAGTAGAATGTATATTCTGGAATAAATGCATCGTATTATTCGATATCACATTTTTTAACCTTTGTAATAAAACTGTCCTGAAGAGAAGGGAGAGCGTGGGAGTTACTTGACATACCGCTGATGTTTAACATGTACTTTACAATACTCTAGATGACCCCCTTTTATTTCTTTTTTTTTCAGAGGAAGAGGGGGTGTCAAAGACAGAGTTTACGCGCACATAAATGTCCGACATTGAACATGTCAAAGCATGCACTCAGGAATGCGATGTTTGCAAGGAACAGTAAGTAGTATACTGCAATCCAGTACGTTTTTGTTTTTGAGTTGTTTGCAAAGTGCAGGTATATCATACCGTACAGTACATAAATAAAACTTTGTGTTTTTTTGCAAGGAATCGTATATTTCTTAAATAGAACATCTAGATTTTAAAGGAGTTTGTTTTTTGTTCTTCAAAGGGGTTACTTACTATCATATCAGTTAAAAGATCTACTGGTAGCAACCCTTTCAGGAGGTCTTACCGTCATTAGTGTAGTCACGTGACCGTACGACTGCATTTTATATTAAGAGTTATAAACATACAAAGAAAAATGTTTAAATTTCATTGAAGTTAATTTCAGAAGCAAAGTTAGGGCAATTTCTGGTGAGATAACAGATTAACGTTTAGTAACTACATTGACTGAATAAATGGCACAACTGGTAGCAGCAAAATCAATTCCCTTAACAACAGTCAAAACCCTATATTGGTGGTAACATCAGCCTTTGTTTTCTTCTTCGTCGTCTTGTTTTCTTTTTCTTTTCTTTTTTTTTTTGGAAATGTAGTTTCCAGTTATAATAAAAAGATTTTTAAATTTTCAGAATAGGTAACACAAGAGTGTGTTTGAGCTGATTTTTTTATTTCTAAATGAACAAAAAGAAGAGGTAGTTTGGCTTTTTACAGCCTAATTTGGGTATTTAGAGAGTGTTTTAGAGCAGAGATTACTGTTGCCCCACTATGTCATGAAAAAAGTATAAAGTAGAATTCATAACGCCCGACGCCCAGGACAACAAGTTTTACCGTTACATTTTATCCGTTAGATAAGTAGTTGTTGTTTTTCTCATCGTCTGTACTACTGTTAGATTTCTAGGGAGCCACGCAAGTTGCTGAAAATTATGAACTGTGGGAGTCTAGCACATACACATGAACGTTTAAGAATGCAAGCCTATAAACTTCAAACCAGACCTGTGTACACAGATATACACGTGTAAGAATTGAATTCTTCAGTCACACACACGACAAGAAACGTATATAAATTAACACAACGATATTATTATATTACTTTTGTTTACAGTGTAAACGTTGGCTGCCAACTCTAGAAAGAATATATGACATAATTTTGAAAAATCCTTGAAGTTGTTTTACATAAAAACATCATTTAGTCTGTAGCAGCTTTAATGTAGGCTGTGATCTCTTCAGCTGTTCATGTTTTTGTGAAAAGCTGCAGGAGAAAACGATTATCTCAAAATTGCAAAATTGGATATACTGGGTTTTGTGTCTGAACTATACATATATAACTCAAATATGATTGCTAATACTCATATACATCTGGTTTGTCGATTTCACACACTTATAATCTAACAGCTGGCAACGGACAGTGAATACGGCAGAGAAGAATCCATGTTTTAGTATTTCGTATATTATGAATCAGAAACTTTTTAAAAACATATTAAATTAATGTAATTTTAATAACGTATAAACACTTTGTGTGGTGTCTGTAAAATAATGTATTTAAAGTAGATATTATGAGAGAAATTATGCAAATAATTGGGTCATCAGTGAATTTATCTTATTTCTCAATCCCCGAATTTGTCTTTCACTGTTTATTATTAAATAAAAGCAAAATCTTAAAAGTTATGTTCTACTTTTTTGTATGTGTTTTGTAGGATGGAGAGAAGGCAGAGATTTCTAAGAAGGACTAGTAGATATTTCTAACATTTTGTCCCTTGAACAATAAGTTGTTTTTCGAAATTTTCACACCTCTCCACGATGAAGTTTACCAGATTACGGATGCTTTTAAATCTTTAACTATAGTAATGGTATCATGAATTATGGAGGATACCTACTTTGAATAATAATAAAGGAATTGTCTATTTAGCAAATTCAGAAGTGCGTGAATAATTTTCAGTAAGCCCTTGAAAACAAGTGTCAAATTATCAAATAACTCTTCAATAACTTTTTATTAATTTCTAAATCATTCTTTTTAAAGCTAAAACATGAGAGTAAACAGTAAAATCCGTTTAATGAAAGTGTGTCTAAGGTTAATAATACCTCATAAAATGTATGTTAATGTTTTTTTTTATATTATTGGTGTCTTTTACTCTTGTGAAATCATATTTTTTGAACACCATGTTTTAGAATCTTGACCATATCCACAAAGACCTATTTCAGTGTTGAGTACAGTTGAAGCTCTTGTCTTTGGGGTTTTCTTGCGTATGGTGTAGACGCCCACATTCCTGGCTACTACCATAGCTTCAGTGCAACTACAGGGTTTGCCGTTTCCTTCCTTAATGACTATCTCACCTCATAATAGTTTTACTTTTCACCCCGCAGTTTAAACTGTAGCACTTCATTCTTCTTCTCTCCTGCTACCCAACAGTGCATCCTAGCGTGGGAAAAGACCTAAAACCTTTACGATTGTCACCTAAAACATTCAACCTCCATAAACTTTCTGTCACACACGAAGCAGTATTTCATAAACTGAGACTACCTCTGATCACCCACTTAACACGAATGATGTTAGTTAATTTAGTTTTATTATTGACAAATAATAATAATTAAAAATTATAAATCAGTGTCGGTATACTTTCCACCGTAAAAAACTGTCAAATAATAACAAGAAAGATAAAAACAATATGTGTGTGTATGACGATGACCACAAATGATTTATTAGGTTTTAAAAATTACCCACAGTTGCAATATACCTGCGCTTGCTCTTCCTAACAGCCCTACCTTGGAATATTTCAATCAAATAAAGTTCTTTATCGTCATGTCTTTGGAAATCCCATTGCACATGCGCTACGCTGTCAATGTCAAACTTTACTCATGACAAGACGTTACGTTCTCCTGTATAGTCGCCATTTTAAATATGGCAGCAGCGCTGTTTTCTTGCTTCTATATAATGTACGCTGTTTACTTAACTCATTTTTAAACCAGGGAGTTTTTAACTTACAACATGCAATCTTTTTAAAATAGTTTGTAGTTTATTTAATTTGTTGCCTGACCTTAGACCTGTCTTTAGAAAACATGTATTGATTGATTTCGGCGGGTTTGGCATAGTTTATGGTTACGTACAGAGAAACTTCCCAAGAGACAGAAAGTTAGGATATTAAATTTGTCTATTGAAGATTGTGTCAACCACACTAGTATGACCTGTCAGCGACTTACCAAATGTATACGAAAAACAAACAAACAAGGCTTCATATTACACCGAAAACGATACGCCATTTTGTTTATGTTTGTATATTGTGTTTTTACTTCTATGTGTGTGTTTATAATTACAATCCTAATTACTCGCTAAATAATTTTACCATTGAAAGCTGAACCTTTTCTACACAGTGTTAAACTCAGAATAACACACACATCTCTTTCATGTTTACTTCTATCTCACCAAGAATTTCTCTATTCATCAGTTCACTTATCGCTTATTTAAAGCAAACAATCTTCTAATGATACAGGTTTATTGCAGACTAAACTACAGCTCTAGATAGCAACCTGATCAGTAACAGGTAAGTTTTGTACTTATTGTTACACACACAAATATAAAGTTAAATGTTCAGCAAACTTTAAAAAAAACAAAATAACTATGGGCCATTATTATGGTCTGCTGTTCAATAAAAATGTACAGTTACACCCGTGGCTTGGATTCTATTAAGCAGACCCCCTAATGATTCTATCTAAAGCTGGGAAGGAAAGAAATTCCGTTGTTGTAATAGACTTGATTGTTTTACGGCTTTCAATGACAGTTTCTGGGAAGTTACTCAACAGGCAGGCGGTGAAAGATCAGAAACGGGGACAATTTATACCAAATGGAAAAGATAAAACTGAGGCGACATCTGGGAGCAGAATAGAGCCGTAATAAAGATGTTACCTATAGCCGTTCACCAGTCACGTATTGTTGCTATAGAAACTTACTGATTGTTCTGTCTATTAGTTGTTGCCTCTTCAATTCTTAAACTTATACATAGATATATTATTTGTATACCAAACATATAGACAATTCATCTTGGAAAAACAAGGAGTGTACTTAACATTAATCATCAATAACCTTCATGTGTAATAATTGATACTTCATTGTTTAAAGTTTTTCTTAAAATGTACATAATCAAATAGTTAGAAATACATGCTGTTATATCCAGACGCATTGTATATTGTTCACATTAGTAACGTGCTTGACTCGGTGTAATGCTTCATGCACGTGTCCAAGCACTGCACGTACATTTATACAATAACAGGATAAGTTATACGCATTTTAAGACACGTGCAACTAAGATATGTAGATTTAAAAAAAAATTAACTATTCTGTGTGATGTTGAAAACCAATGCGACTATTGCATGTGCATTTTGAAAAACCAACTAATCGCTTTACACGCAATTTAGAGCATATGTTACCAGCTATGGGCATTTTTCACTCGACCCAACTAGAGTTTATGCATTTTTCCTTATTGAATTTCGTCAGTGGACACAAGTATAAAGAACTGATGTTTGCCTTTTCTATTTTCACCGTTTTTCCCCCCCTTTTTTTAAATAGGCACAGTGATTGGCACACAATACTGGTCATAAAACTCGCTCGCGGTAAGAATGGGGGAATTAAGTAAAAATTAAAAAAAACTGTTTGCTCTAAAATCAAATGTTGAAACTACGCTTTAAGGAATGAAAGACGGCAACTCTATTGTGAAGAAGTTCAGCCAAATGAAAAACAAAAATATACAGTTGTGAGTATCTTCAGCCAAGCTCCGGTGGCGCCGATTAGTGCTACTTAAGTTCGAACGGTCGGTCTATCTTCAACACCAAAATGACATTATATAACCTCGAGGGCTTCCATAAAGGTGATAAAGAAGACTAAGCCTCGCCGGGACACATTCCGTCCTCGGTAGAGTGACAAGATTACTATCAACCACTAGCTATAACGAGATTATGGGTAATGAATGCCAAGCTGTCCCTAAGTAATAAACGCTTTTTTTCCTTTTCTTTACCAAGCGTTAAAGATAAGTTGCTCCTGTTTTGCGGATTAGCTTGTTCCTCAGTTGGTTGGGATGTTCCTGTCAGTACTAGCGGTCCCGCCCAGGTCCTTGTTTTGTGGTTCCCGGATCTTCTCTCCAAATATCTAAAGCCACTCCCAGATAGTCTTGAATTGTGCTTTCTGACAAGCCTTATTCAAGTTCTCTCTTTACTAGTCTGACCATTACCAATAGCGAGAATGTAATGTAATCATATCTTCTATCCCTTAACTATACATATAAACAGAAAATAAGAATACATAAAACTAATAGAATTATCTCCAGACAACAGATAATTCCGGCATAGGATAAATTATATATTTTTCTATCAATCGCCAATCACTGACCAGCGTAAGAAGATCCTAGTTGTTGCTGTCGAACTTTTAGCATCATCAAGAGTCGTTCTAGTTATCATTCTGCTCTTATGGCAAGACAGTTTATGACTGATTCAAGTACCAGCGTTCACATTTTTAATGGTTTTCTGTATGTACACCACAGTCTGTCGTTTTTTAGTTCTATACTATACACGAAACTTATGTACACTAAGAAGCACATTTCAATATGCAGTTTATCAACATTTGTTTTGTTTTTTTTACTCACCCTCAGGATAAGACCTGTCAAGTGTGATAATCACGAAAGTTTTAAAACCTGATTCTAGCGCACATAATCCTAGCTGGCTATAAGACTTAACAACAGACCGGATTCTTGGTTAAGTACACGTCTTCATCAACACTGTACAGTACATATTCTAGTTTGGAGGTCGGATTACCTCCTCTGTGTCCTGTCAAATCCCATTAAGCCTAAACTTCCTCCGTCTCACACACTGATATACTAACGAAACCACTTCAGTTATCATTTTCATCCCCACTGCATGACAAACAAAAACCAAAACCTAATCAATTTAAAACTACATACATCCTACATGAGTAAACTGTTTGTAGGCCTAACTGGATTAAATTAAAGAGTATAATAAAAACTAAACTAAATTTATTTCCCACGATAAACTGCAGCTCAAGTGCTAAGTCTGTTTGTTTCTTTTTCTGAAACACAACTTTAAGTTTAAAACGAAGAAGCAAGAGGTCATAAACTTGGCCATGGATTTTCCAAAGACATCTGGAATTAATCCAAGAGTCAAAAGACAGGGCCATAGATATTACTGTCGCATAAAGAGAACGTTGTACAGAGCAGTCACCTACCTTAACGTATTGATGGCTTTCACTTGTTTACTCTTCTGATCGAAAGGTTAAAGTTAAAAAATCAAATGCATTATAAGGCGCATTAGTCAACTTTTTAACTGAAAGCTCTCTATAATTTAGAGGTTAGGAATATATTTTACATGTATTTTGTAAAAGTAGGGAATGGAAAAATAGTTTATATAAATAATATATTTCATGAATTTCACAAGCTTAGTTTTTCCAGCAACTTTGCAGTTGATGTGACCTTGACATTTTGCATCAAAATTCATTAGCCTCATTCTCTCATAAGAATTAGTGGTCTTTCTACGAATAAAAATCTGCAGAAGCATCTTCCATTACCATTCTGTGGAACTGTACTTCAAAGTCAGCACAGCAGAAATATACATTTAAAATTATTTGTGGAGATATGAGTACCAGATAGATTAGAATCAGCAGTCTAAACAATGATTTGACCCCAAGTTAAAAACCGTTATTTCAAATTAAGCAATTGATTTGACAAAAAAGTAGTACTTCATGGTGTTCGATTGCTTTGTTTTTTGTTGTTATTTATTCTTGTATAGGCCTACGTCTATTAATATCGATTTTAATCAAAAGTGTAATTTGCAAGATTTATAAATCTCCTAAGTTATAGAGTTTTTAAATTAAAATCATTGATGTGTGTTTC